AGCTCCTGCAGGGACTTCTTACCAGGCTCTGCCAAAGAGGGAGGCTGTCTAGGGAAGGTACCACTTCTCTTCTGACTTGTTGGTTCTCGTGAGAATGTATCTGGATGTGAAAATACCACCCTGACTGCCAGCCGTGAAGTTGCTGACATCCCTAAGAGTGGAAAGTGACATTAATGTGCCCCGCTGGCTTTCCCTGGCCTCCTCTTGACACCACACACTGCACATGTCTCTGTTGAAGGTCCTGAGGTTGAGTCCTGCAGGGTTAGTTCTTGTGTAAACTACAGTTTTAACCTCCTCAGAAAGAGGAGAGAGAGATCATCTCTTAACAGGCCCCTAATGGCTCGGGATTTGTGCCTCTTCTATCTCTGCTGCTGAGATAATGCTCGCCCTCTGCACCTGTCTTCCTCACTCCCGAGGTGTTGGTGTCCGCAGCGTGGGAGGGGGGAACATGGCTCGGGGGACAGTGTGCTGAGGCCAGCTGTCAGGATGAGCCTGTGCACAGCAGCAGGTGAGGGCTTCAGGCCTCAGCCAGGCTCTGCTGTCGATGTCCCCAGGGGGCCCTGACTCCTGGTTGCCCTGCAGTGAGCTCCTCCTAAACTGAGGATGCTGGCGGCACACACGTGGAGGGAAAACAGCCCGAAAAGTCCTTCCAACCCTTTCTGACCCCTTCATTGTTGTTTGTCTCCTGTAACTTCCACCTGTTAGTCCCCTGGACTCTAAGCTCTAGAAGGACAGGCCTGTGTCTTAGTGCCGGCACTCAGGGAACACACAGTTCATCTTTGTGGAAGGGAGGAATCATCTGAGTGAGCCTGTCAGTTACAGAAAACAGTGCAGTGGTTTTTACATTGGCTGTTACTCGGGTATTAAAAGAGAAGTCTCCTGTCCTCCCTTGTCACTTTGCAGCTGAACTTCCCGAGGCCCAACAGCCACGCATGTGATGTGGTGTGAGCCTCCCTCCTCTTCTCTGCAAACTCCCCAGCTCCTCACTGCCTGTCCTCACCCCTTGGAGCGTGACTTCAGTGTGCACTGCAGGTGGCTGTAGACTCGGATCCTCTGGCAGCAGCCTGTGATAGGTCAGAGAACCAGCCAACAACCTGCCCTGCCCTTGGGGAAACACAGGCCCTGCTGGCAACAGAGCTCCCTGCACATCTGACTGTGCAAGTCCTGGCTGTCTGGTCCCCAGCATGTCTGGGAGCACTCCCTGCTCTGTCCCACCTCTGCACCCCATCTGGCGTCCCACACAGCCTCCACACGGTAGGCTAGAGCTGGCCACCAAGGCCCAGGTGTCCGTGTGGCGCACCAAGCCCCACTCCCTGCCCCGCGTCCTGGCAGGGTCTCTCGCAGCCTGTCATCCTTGTTTCATCTTGATTTATGATCAGATCTAATGAGTTTTTGGAGCAGCTGTCTCCCAGGCATGGGGCAATCAATCTAGGAGATGGCTGTTGAACTCTGCTCTTCTCACAGCCAAGGGTGGAGGACAAAGGGGTGGGGTCCCAGGCCAGGGCAGGCGGGAAGTAGGGGTTAGGCCTCTGCCCATCTCAGCACCCTCAAGATCAGAGCCCCACCAGGCCCTCCTCTCCCACCACCCCCCTTTTCTTTGTTTTGTGTCGGAACCTAGGGTGTACAGTGGTACTGATTTCTTCTAATCTGGTTGGAATATGTCCCTTCCCTCTTTCCCCCCCCCCCCAGGGGATAGAGCCCAGATGCCCACTTTCATATTAGTACCATGCACTAACCAATTGCACCACTGGAGCTCTGAAGATGTCCTTATGTTAGGTGGGAACCAGAGGGCCCTTCCTCTTCCACCCTCCACCTCAGCCAGGCTGTTTCCTCAGGGACATTGAACCTCACCCCGAGGCCCAGTCTGTACTTGAGAATAATCCTCTTCCCTGGTATAAGACTATGCCCCTTAACTGCCATGAAGTATGGGGCCCCTGAGGGCAAGCAGGGCCTGGCCCATAGCGAGTGGAGATTCAGGGCCGAGTGACCCAAGTCTGCTTACTTGTGAGGTGCTCAGGTTTGCTTCTCCCTAGAGCTGGCAACATTCCCTGCTGCCAGCCTCCACTTGTTGAGCTTTTGACAGAATGACACAGGGTGTAACTAACAGGATAGCAGGGGTGAGACTCACTCCTGGGCCTGTCCCCTCCAGGTGCTTGTCAAGGAGCTGCAACTTTTCAACGCCCTTAAAATCACCTCCTAAGAGCTTCTAGCATCTTCTTTTCACCCTGAATGACGACAAACATCCAGCCTGTGAGGGTACATTTGGATTTTGGAAATAGACCTGTTGTTTTGGAAATGGGTTTGATTAAGAGAACAAGATGGGTGACTGATCTAGGTAGTAGTGTCATGAAGTGGAACTAATTATGGCTAGACAATGGAAAGATAAATTTTTTTATCACCCAGAGCCATGGCTTCTTTGTAGGCCATCCTGAAAGTTCTAGAACGATAATGTCCTACATTATCGTTGGCAATTAAGGCAGCCTTCCACAATAGCGGCTCTGGAGGACCCCACTAGCAGGCTTATACTGGTGGGCGTACATGAATGTACCTGCATGCACTTTGTAAAATCGCTCTAATTTCTTTGGAAACCTACCCTGTAAGTTTGTGTGTTTACAATGATGAAAGCCCCTAGTCACAAGTAAGCCAGCCCCTTGCTTTCAAGTAAGCCAGCCAGTATTCAGCTGCCTTTCTGCAGAGACTTAAGGCTGGGGGCTTAGAGGAACAGAGACACTAACCAGTGTCCGGCTAGAGAGAAGTGATGGGTGTGCTCCGTGTCTTCCTGCTTCTCAGGCTGCCAGCCAGACCCATGGGCCGAGGCTGAGTGACAGGCTAGAGGATTCCTCCCCATTTGCCTCTAAAATCTTGCCTTGGCCAGGGCCAAGCACCCGATCAGAAAGTGGCACCCCAAGGCAGCAGTGGCAGCCCAAGTCATGAATCTTGCCTTGCAGCAGCTGCCCGCTGTGCCCTGACCCTGCCCTCCTTGCAGTGGCAGAACTGTCTGATGCAGCCTCCTGAGTGACTAATCACCAAGTGGCCCCGGGCCCATCTGCCAACTGCTCCCCTGACCCTACTCGGCCTGTTCTGTGATCTTCTGGCGCATGGGGACTCCACCTCCATCCAGCCTGTCTAGCCTTTCCCAGGTGCCCCTCCCTCATCTCCTCCCCCAGTACTCCCCTTTTGTGCCCCCCTTCCCCAGAGGGTACACTTAGAGGCAGCTTGAGGCAGAGAGAGGAACTAGGTCACCACTTCCCCTTGACTGACCAGGGCCTGGAAGATTTGCAATGCCCCTGAGTGGTGGGAGTCTTGGGGCCCTGGAGTGGCAGGGACTGGAGCAGGCTATGAGAGTCAGAAACAAATCGTCTTCTTTATTGGTGATTTTCACAGGCCTGTTTCTGTCCTTCCCTCTTTCCCTCCCGTCCCTGACAGTGTCAGGTAGTTCTGATTAAAGTAATGGATGAAGACTCCATCCCACTCCCCAGTGACATTGTGGGAAGACATTGCCTGGCTTCCCGCGGGTCCCAGCAGAGCGACCCGTATTTTCCAGGAGTGGTGGAGTATGATGTGGCCTGAAGAGGATAGTAGGGGCCCCCCAGCCTCCCACCTGGGACAGAGCCTCTGATGGGGCCCCAGGCTGAGCTGTATGCTGGCCTCTTCCAGCCCGCTGCACCGTCATGCTTGCCTGTGTTTCTCACAAAGAAATGTCACAGGTCCTTGTGGGCTTTACCTAAGGAACAGGGCACAGGCTGTCAGACTGTTCTGAGCAGAGACAGCAGGGGTTAGTAAATTCCAGAAGGACACAGGGACACTGGTGGTATTTGTGTGTTGAGTAGCAAACAGTGACAGTTCTGGGTAGTCTGGATAGCACATACTGGACCAGAGTGACACTGTAAGATCTGGGAGTGCCTGATTTTTGGTTTTTGTTTTTTTTAAAAAAACAGTTTCACTTTATTGCCCTCAGTAGAGTGCTGTGGCATCACAGCTCACAGCAACCTCAAACTCTTGGGCTTAAGTGATTCTCTTGCCTCAGCCTCCCCAGACTACAAGTGCCTACCACAACGCCCGGCTATTTTTTTGTTGCAGTTTGGCCAGGGCTGGGTTCAAACCCGCCACCCTCGGTATATGGGGCCGGCGCCCTACTCACTGAGCCACGGGCACCCCCTTGTCTGTTGGTTGTGTAGGGTTTTCTGAGTCCTGCCGTGGGCAGCTGCACTGCTCAGCCCTATCTGCAGGCAGCCCATGCTCGAGCACAGACTGGTGGACTGTCTGAAGATGGAGATGGTCCCCATCACAGGGGAGCCTGTTTGCTCTGAACAGATAGAGCTACAAGTCCCCTTCCACTTCAGCAGCAAGTTGCCTGTCCCTAGCTGTGCTACTGGGCCCAGGAGAACAGAGCCACATGCCATTTGCCTCCAGCCTTAGTGCCAGCAGCTCAGGATTCAGCAGTCCTCACCATTGGTCCTTGGTGTCATTTCTTCCCTGAAGTGACCACTGGTAACTTCCTGCCTGCTCTAGGCCCTGGGGCACCCCCCTCTCTGCTCAGTGCTCTCAGCATTCCTGCCCATTTTCCCTCAGCTCTATCTAGTAGATGTCATCGGCCCACAGGACCCCTTCTCCCGAATGCTCTGTGCCCTCTGCCTCCATCCCCAGCTCCCCAAACACACATCTCTTTAAACCAAGGGAGTCTGGACCCAGACTGCTGCCCCCACCCACCCTCCGAGCTCCAGACCGGGACTCGGCTGCCTCCAAGAAGACAGAGTTGCTGTATCTGCAGTGCCAGGCCACCCTGCCAGTGGCCCTGATACATCCCTGTCCTTACATGCATGGGGTCTCTGCTCCTGGGGAAGGAGGAATGGGGCACAGAGAGGCCCACACAGACCTTCCTAAGAGGAGCAGCCACTGCCAGCCTGCCCCAGATGAGACAGCAGGCTGAACCTTGCCAGAATCTGCCAAGGCAGGACTGTACCATCCCCCTGGCTGACTCCTCCCTTCTTGTTTTCTAGCCTTCACTGTCATGATCGTGCTGGCCCTGGTCCGCATCGGGCATGGCCACGGGGAGGGGCACCCAACCCTGGCTGACTTCTCTGGGGTCCGGAACCTGTTTGGGGTGTGCGTGTACTCCTTCATGTGCCAGCACTCCCTGCCGTCCCTCATCACCCCCGTCTCCTCCAAGCGCCATCTCACGCGGCTGGTATTCCTGGACTACGTGCTGATCCTGGCCTTCTACAGCCTCCTGTCCTTCACCGCCATCTTCTGCTTCCGCGGTGACAGCCTCATGGACATGTATACCCTCAACTTCGCGCGCTGCGATATTGTGGGCCTGGCCGCCGTGCGCTTCTTCCTGGGCCTCTTCCCCGTGTTCACCATCAGCACCAACTTCCCCATCATCGCCGTGACACTGCGCAACAACTGGAAGACGCTCTTCCACCGCGAGGGCGGCACCTACCCGTGGGTGGTAGACCGCATCGTGTTTCCCACTATCACCCTCGTGCCCCCCGTGCTCGTGGCCTTCTGCACCCATGACCTGGAGTCCTTGGTGGGCATTACAGGGGCCTATGCGGGCACCGGCATCCAGTATGTCATCCCTGCCTTCCTGGTGTACCTCTGCCGCAAGGACACCCAGCTGGCCTTCGGATACGGGACTGTCAACAAGCACAGATCCCCTTTCCGCCACACCTTGTGGGTGGGCTTCGTACTGCTTTGGGCTTTGTCATGCTTCCTCTTCGTCACAGCCAACATTGTCCTCAGTGAGACCAAGCTCTGATGGCGGGACACATCTGGTGACAGCAGCCTCCCCGCCTGCGGAGCCAAGATTTAGTTGTCTCCCGGGCCTTCTTGGGGCAGGTGGGACCGTGGCTCTCAGGCCCAGCTAGGAGTCTTCTCAGACTCTCCGCCCAGACTCGTCCAGTGTGTACCTGGCTGCACTTACCAGGGCAGCTCTCCTCCCAGGCCCACCTGTCTGGGCACATGCAGCTGCTCCTGGACTCTGGGACTTATTACCGGAATCACCCCATTTCCCAACACACTCTACCCCCCACTACCAGAGGCGGGCGCCTCCCAATGAGGTGGGAGATGCAGTGCTGGCGCTGCTGCCATTATACCAGCCCCACGTCTCCCCTCCCTGCCTCCCCAGCTCCCTCTTTGTCTAGAAAGTCTCCAGCTGCTGCCTCTTGAGAGGGTCCTAAGGACCAGGTCCTAAGCATCCTAACCCTGCCTGCCTGTGATGGGCAGGGCCATCCTTCCCCCCCCACCCCCAGCCTGAGAGTTACGAAGTGCCACTCCTAGGAGAGGGCCTGGCTGGCCCTGGTGACAAGAACAGGAAGTGCTAATTGACACCAGTGGCCTGGCCCAGAGCTGGGAGGGCCCTTGCTGTGGGCGCCAGCTCCAGAGCAGCAGGCTAGAGGGAGCTTCCCTTCCATGAGGACACAGCAGCCTGTGGGCTGGGTTTAAAGCCCAGAGCTCATGTCCCTGAAAGGGTCTCTCTGCCCTCCTGGCTGTCACACTGGAGTCCTCAGGGCCTCTTGCAGTGCAGGGGCCTGCTAGAGGGAAGGCAGCCCCACCTAGCACCCTCAGTGGCAGGTGGAGGGCCCTGGTGTCCCACCCTGCAAGTCAGGCTATTCCCACTCAACACTAAAGATGGCTCTTAGGAGACAGTGTGGGCATTCAGGGTTCATGTTCTCCATGTCTTCTGGGTGACGTGGGGTTGGGTGGGGAACTCACCACCAGTCCCCAGCCACCACAGTCATGCACGCACCTGGGGTTGGCCTCCTTGGAAACGTATGTGACTCAAATGAACTCATCTCAATGTGCCTTCTGCTTCAGGTCCTGGGTCCTTCCTGACCCTGCCTGGCTTGCCCCCAGCCCCGGAGCCCACCCGTCCCGGGTCCCGGAGCCCGGAGCAGCTGCCCAGGAGCTGCCTCTCTGGCATGAGGTCTCAGGCCCCTGCCTCTCCTTGATTTCAGTGCCTTGTTCAGCCCTCCTGGAGGGACCTCCCTCCACCTCTCCCCTGCATCTCGCTGTCATCAGGTCTTGGACAGAACAATGATGCCAGGTCTGCTGGGGCCCAAGGTGATCTCAGGGTTGGGGGATATGTGGGATTTGCAGGAAATGTGGGGTACCCATAGGCATGCCACCCTCCTCCACCCTGGCAGCCACAGGCTGGGAGCCCCCGAGTGGCACAGTTGGCCTGATGACTTTCTCACTGTTCCGCCTCAGCAGTTTTCACAGCTTGTCCCAGGTATCATTATCTTCTATCACAGGAAAAGCAAACACCCCTCCCCCATCTGCCATTGTGGCTTCTAACCAGGAGGCCCGGTGGGGTGGGCAGAGCAGGGGGGCACCACAGTGACAAGACCAAGAATAAGGAAGACCCGGCTGTGGTGCAGGCCCTCCCTGGAGCTTCCCAGCTATTGTAAACTGAAAACATCTGTACTTACCCTTTGCAAATTACGTTCCCTCTTGCTTAAGGACAAAGCAAATTAAATCATCCGGCTGCCCTAAGCTCCAAACCAAATTTTGGACACATATTTATTAGCCTCATAAAGCCCAGGTTGATTTATGTGATAATCTGGAGCCATAAAGCAGTGGAGTTAGTGGCTGAGTTCCCTCCACCTCAGGCTGGGGCAGCCCAGCCCTGGGGGAATTGGCCCAAGGTGCTCACACCACTCCCACTCTCCTGCTGCTTTGCTTCTCATTCACCTGCTACCTGTCTTGCCAAAGGTCAGGTGGGGTCCCCTTGGAGTGCCACTGACAGCTGGGGGACTTGGAGTCAGGAGAGAAGTCCCCAGCAGTGAAACATACCAGGTGATGCTGGCTCTCCACAGGCATAATGCTTTTACATCAGCTTGGTGCAGTGGACACACAGGTTGTGGTTTCCACTTTGCAAATGGGACTCTGGGGTCAGTGGTGGGGAGGGTGGAAGGGGTTGCCAGGCCTCCCTGCCCCATGTACAATTGTAGCTGTGGAGATGTTCCATGCTCAGTCTCCAGCCCTGTCATTCACCTGTTCTGTCCCACATGCACCCAGGCAGGCCAGATCAAGGTGGAAGTGCACCCCCCCCCCGCCTCCCTCCTGCAGAACTAGCAGATACACCTGAGTGCCAGAGCCTTACATGGCAGCTCCTGGCTATGCCTCACTTGAGGCCAGAGCAGCGGCCACTGGCTTTTAGGTGGGCCAGATGGCAGGTGACAGGCTGAGAGGCACCGCTGCGGGGTGGAGGGTGTGCACTGGGCATAGTGCCAGGGCCCCAGCCACACAGCTGTTCTCACCACAGGGGGACTGGGGCAAAGCCAGGGCAGTAAGGAGCTATGCCCCACCTCCTGGGAAACCAGCCCGGATGGGCAGCGGCTGGTAGTGCCAGGCTCTGGGGAAGGCTGAGACTCCACTTGTCCAGGAGGCAAATTCTCAAGCACAGTTGACTCGTGGGAAGGGCCACTGTAAAGCTGATTCTTCAGACACCTAGATGCAGGGCACAGCAGAGAGCTTGGGGTCCCTTCCCCTGGAGCATGGGGGCCATAGTGTGGATTGCAGACTGGAAAAGTAACCTCTTTTGAGGGTTTTTATGTACCAGGCGCAGCACTGGGCACCTTCCACGTGAACAAGCTGCCGGGCCTGCTGCTTACAGGCAGCGCACCTTCATGAGCTCTCCCCACCTTATTTGTAAAGTGGGTGACAGTAGCTATGTCACTGCCTCATTGTGGGAATTAAAGTACGGAGCTAAGTGCCCTGCACAGAAGTGCTCAATAAAGCTATTCTTTACTGATGCCCGTCTATCTTGTCACTTGCCAGCAATGACCACACCTGTAGCCAAAGACCCCACTCTTCTAGGACTCCAGACACCTATTTGGTTTCACAGCCTCTTAATGAGTTGAGTGCCCTCGTGTAGCCACAGCCTGCTATAACTTAGAGACAGTAAATTGATGGGAATTCAGAGTGTAGAAGGCTTTTGGGGAGAGGGGTTGTCTCTGGTTCTCCAGTCCCCTAGAAAACTTGAGGACAAGTCCTCCCTGTTCAAAAACAAGACAGGCTAGGCTGGAAGGTCCTGGCCAAGGAAATCAGCCCACCCTTTTGTAAGCTCTTCTCCCCTCCCACACATACCAGGGTCCCTGGAGAAAAGCTGGCGTGGATCACAAGCAGCTCAGCTAGACATGAGGCAAAACGGGACAGTGGCAGGAAGGACCCCGGTTAAACCACTGACAAGGGCCTCTCCCTGTATCTCGCCAAAAGAAAAAAAAGCATTTCAGTGTCAGGTGCCTGGTCAGTGTAGCCTCCGTTTATGCTGATTTCACATCTAGGGCCTTGCCTCTCTCCCCTGTCCCCTGCCAGGCTTTCTGCCCTCCTCTCAGTGGGGCAGTAGGCAGGGACATAAGGCCAAGCTCACCCTGGATTCACAAAACCATCCTTCCTGCCCCCTGCCCCTCCAGGACTCACGCCCCTACCTAGAATATATCCTGGAAAAGGAACAAGGCAACCAGCCAGTGCCTGGTTGGGGAGCAGGAGTCCCCCCTCCCACCCTCGGGAGCCAGCCACAAGCTCAGGTCTACATTTGCCTCTTAATTACCTTTCCGGTTCTTGGTTATTAATGATCTTGGGCAGCGAGCAAAGCAGCCTGAACCTCAAGCTCTTCCCAGTGTCACCTGCCGCAGCTGTGAATCCAGAGCTGCAGGCAGACCCTGACTCAGGGAGCAGGGAGGTCAGGTCCTGGGGCTGGTGGCCAACAGCCCTGTCACCACCTATGGCTGCAGAAAAAGGTCAAGCTCCATGCCAAGCTTCCAGCACTCACCTAGACTCACACTCCCCCTTCCCCAACCTGGATCTAGCTCAGGGCATAGAATGTGAAAGCAACTGGAAGGGATGGGGGCCACTCATTCTTGAGGTAGTTACTCTCCAGCCTAGAATGGACGTGTATCACACTTTACTATTTCAGCTGCCCTCACCCCTAAAGCCAAATGAAAAAGGTTCAGTTCTCATGGTCCCAATCCAGGCAGTGGGGTCTTCAGACACTGAAGAGGGACCCCAGCAAGGAGCTGTGGGGAAGGGCACTGGGCAGCAACACCTAGCAGGGCCCCTCCCAGGCCCTCCCATTACATGGAATCAGGAGCTGCCCTGCCTACACCCAGCAGCCCTCAGACTTTACATCCTGGGCAGTTAGAGAAGGTCTGACAGAATTGACAGTGCACACTGTATTGTTGGAATAGAATAATGCAGGCTCACTTGCTTCTGAGTGTCATTTGGGATGGGAGATAAATGTAATTGAAAATTGTAAGCAAAAGCCATCTTTTTAGGTGGTCCAAAGCCAGTGATGTGTGACAGAGAAAGAAGGCAGGGCTAGCAGCCCCAGAGGAAGGACAGAGGACTAAGGCAACACTCCCACCCAAGGAGTCCTGGCACCTGTAAGGCTGAGCCTGGCTGACCCAGCATCCACCTGTGCGACACTTCATGAGCCCCACAGGCAGCTCTGAGCTTCCCAAGTCAGCAATGGAGACAATGCAGACAGAGGGCCCAGACTCCCACAACAGACCTTTCCTGCCTTTTCCACCATGACACTGAGGCTCCCAGGGGTCCCTGACAGGGCAAGACAGCCATACCCGCTGGCACAAGCCTCCTTTTTCAAGGACACTGAGGGACAAACTCCATCAACTACCAGAGCCCCTGTGCTGAGTCCACCGTCACATCCAGGACCTGGGTGAGTGGGAGCTGGTGCTAATACCAAGTGTCCTCTGCCCTCAGCCTCACTTCCTCCCCACATCCTTCTCAAAGGGAGCTGCCCCTCGGCTATAGGCAGACACCCTACCATCTGGGATACTCCCATGATGCCCTGTTGCTTACGATGGTGTGCCCCCTCCATGATGCAAAATGAGACAGCCTGGACCAATGGGTTGTAAAAGGTTGGTTTAATGTTCCAATGCTCAGATGAGAAGAAATTCCAGCCAGGTGGAACAAGGATCCAGCCTCCACAGTTCCATGCCCCACACCAAGACCACAGTGTGACCAGGAACTGGCTAACATCAGGACAGGGAGACCCTAATGGGGCTGACCCACACTGTTCCCTGTAACTCCAAGCTGGGTGGGTAGGACTTTGCATGGTAAAGGGACAGCCAAAGACCAGCCCAAAGCAGGGCCTGAGTCTGCTAAAGTCACTGAACTGACCACAGGAGACATCATCTGTCCCTGGAGTCTCATGGCAAGGATATCATGGTAGAAGCCAGAGAATCCAGCCAACCAGGAACCAGAGAGGCTGACACTTCACACTTCTGACTCCAAGCTACAGACTCGCCTCCAGGTGCAGGGTCCCAGGAAGCCTTGAGCCCCACAGGCTACTCTGCTGACCTCGTCCAGCCCCCCACTGTCCCTGTAGCCTGTGCTCAACCCCAGAGTCCTGCTTCTGTGACCCACAGGCCCCCAGGCCCCAGTGAGCCAGGGACCATGGCTGGCACAGGGTGGGAGGTGAGAGCAGACAGCCCCCCAGCAAAACGGCAGGTGGGTATGGGCATGCAGGCAGACATGATGCGCATGCTGCCAGGCTGGGGGTCCTGCCAGCACGCCCCCCAGGCAGACCTCCCGGTAGGACGGCAGCTGCATTGACTGCGCTTGCGCCAAGCTCCTGCAGGCCGGGCGGCCGTCTGGGCGGGCACAGGTGGGACTGGCGCAACAGGCAGGCCGCGGGCTGGACCGGGTAAAGGCCTCCGCCACCGAGCTGGGCAGGGAAGCGTGGCGCGGGCGCGATCCCCGGGCCCAGGCCGCGCGCAGCAGGGCCTCCCGCCTGGCCAGCTGCTCGGGCCCGAGTAGAGGCAGGTCCTCCGGCTCCGAGGGCTCCAGGAAGAGAGGGAGGAAGGGGCGCCCAGATCGGTCGGCTCGAGGGAAGGAACTGTAGTGACAGCGCGCGGGGGACAGGGGGCGCTCTGGCAGCACGCGCCGCTCTGAGGCCGAGAGATGGCGTCCACAGTGCCCGGCCCTCGCCGGCCGGCGAGACACCCGGGAGACGTCCGGCTGGGGTGGCCCGGACGTCGGAGGGCGACCCGGCTGGTGCGGGGCCCTGCGCACCAGCGTGGCGCGACCTCCACCTGCCTGTTCCCAGCTTCTGGGGCTCAGCTCAAGGGGCGGGCTGGGGGTGGGAGGACGCAGGCCGAGGCCAGGCTGCGAGGCTGGGCAGGAGGGCGGCGGGGGTGCACGTCGGCTGCCGCCCCAATTCTCAATGGTGCGCGTGGCCCGGTCGAGAGAACTGCTCACACCCGCAGTGGTCACCATGTCACGCGCCGCCTGCAGCATCTTGAGCACACTGGCCTGGGCCGAACTGGCCGTGAGGTCTGGGCTGGGAGGCTGCGGAGGGCTGGCCAGGCTCTGCACCCCGTTGAAGCAACTGTAGATGCCCTGGGCAGTAGGGAAAACAAGCCGTAAGGCGCTCCCTCCTCTTAGGAACCATCAGGGACTGTCCCCACCCCTCCGAGGCATCAGCGAAGCAACTACTTGGGAAAGGTCTCTTCTGTGCCAGGTACTCCTTTAGGGAAGGGTTGCTCCCCAGGGCAACTCAGTCTCCAGATCACTCCAGCTGGAACTGGGAGGGCTCAACCCCACAGCCTGTGGGAGAAGGGCTCTGCCACCTCTCCAGACCTGGGTTTACCTCTGTAAATGGATTTATCTGGGTTGGTAGCCCTATAGCTGCAGCCTGTGTGGTGAGGTGGGCACCCACCCTACTGAAAGCCAGCAGGAAGTCCAGCTGGGATGTGGGGGGCACCGAGTGCCGCAGCTTCCAGTAGACCAAGTGCTCCCAGGCGAAGACCAGCAGGGCCAGCCCCATGGCCACCAGCAACATGTAGAAGACGCCAGCCATGTTGTCGATGTCCAGCTTGCTGCTCATCACCTCGTTCTTCTCATTCTGGCAGATCCCAGAGAGCCACACTGTCTCCAGTTTCTGTGTCTCTCCTGGGGGTGGGGGGCGCATACCTGGCTCAGGAACTCTCCCTCAAAACAACCCCCCTCAAAGCTCAGCATGAGCCTGCAGCAAAGAGGGATTGGGGGCCAGGGTGCCACCCCCTTCTTCCTCAATGGACAACACAGAGACCGAGTCCAACAGAGGCAGGACAGTAGGGTGGGGGTCAGTGAGCAGAAGAAAGGAAGGCAACGCCAACCTTGAGTCCCCCTTCTACTCACCTCCAGTAAAGGGCACCCACTTGCCTAGTCGAGGCTGTTGAATGGGTAAATTGTAGCATTCATTCACTCACTCACTCATTTACTTGTCACCATAGACTTAATAACCATCTACATGCCAAGCATGGAGCTGGGCACACACATACTAAAGGCCTGGGTGACCAGGTACCCTCACCATAATCGCTATTGTTATGGTACTGAGAAATCAAACTATTTTATCAAGTAAGGATGGTGCTCCTCTAAACTCAGAGCTCTCTGGGTTTAGGGGCAGGCTGGGCTAGACCACTCGCATGTGGGACTAAGCAGGGTCCTTGGCGCTACCCCACATAAGGAAGATGGAAATGGGGGACCACACTGGGAAAAGGAGGGGCTCACCTGAAAGAGATCGGGGGATCCTGGGGAAATTAAAGGAGTCCAGCCACCACCAGCCACCCCCACTCCCCCCGTGTGGCCTTGAGGGACTCCCGAGCTCTGGGTCCAGCTCCCTCCCTGCAAACCCATCTCTTCCTCAGGTCTCTATCCAGCTGCCCTTCTCATCCTTAGCAACCTCTTCCTGCCCTCAGACCCTGGGACTCAGAATGGTGGAAGAGATGCTGATGAACCTGGACTGCCCAT